GTGAATATACTCTATAGTATATAAAAGAACCATTATCTTACTGAGACAACTATTAGATTACTACGTAAACTTTAAAAAAATCACCACTCGAACACCCCGTCTAACTGTCGTAATTCACAAGAATTGCACGTTAACAACACCATTACTTTATAAAGTGCTTACAATTGTATAATATTGTTCAAGTGTAACCTTTGCTATAGTTGCCAAAAGAAAAATTTTGAAGGCTAAAACTTAATAAACAAATAAATATGTTGATCATTTATTATTATGATTATTATATTACTATGTGAAATTTTAAGCTGATTGGCTTAATAATATGAAAGAAAATCATGTTTTATTGCATAGTATTTTTTTTCAATTACTTTTTTTCGATTACTGTATATGTAAAGTCAAAAAAGTAGTGAAAAAATATATAAAATTATGTTGATTAACTGATTGACATCTATATAAATGTCATTTGTTATGATTGACATACAACATGTTCAGTATATATTATCACTTAATTTAGCTTTACATGAAGATGTTTATTTTATTATTTATATATTTTAAATTATGAAGAATATGACAAACTTCTTCACTAATATTAGAGCACTCTTCTTTAAGATGTTTTAACATATCAATAGGTACACTACCCATTTTTCTGTAACAATATCTACATTGTACTTCATAGTGAGAACTATTAAGCAATGGACCTTCAATAAAGTGAAGCCAAATTAGACCTTTTTTTTTCTTGCTTTTTTGATAGCATTTTTTTAAATATATATATTTAAAATAATAACTGCGATTATACAAACTTAATTATGTGAAATGTTAAATTGATTATCAATCGATTTTAAAAAGACTAAAATTACGTAAAATTATTAACCAATCATTATTTTTAACAATTATTAATAATTTATTAACTAATTATTAACTATTTATTAATATATTTTAATTTATATAGATTAAAAAGCAATAATCATAAATTTATTATTAAGCACTTATTAATTACTTATTATTTAAAATTATTAAGTTAAAATTTAAAAAATCCTATTACTAAATATAATATTATTTATGTTCTATATGTTAGTATTCAAAATTAAAAAAAATCACGTAACATCCTAACCAATACTCAGCAACTTTTACCAAGAAAAAAATTTTTTATTAATACAGATTGTAAACACAGTTTAGGGAAGAGCCAGAAATGACATAATCTCCTAAGGGGAAGGGGATCTACCTAGGATAACATTACTATATGATTTCCTTATTTAAAAGTAATAAAAATGATGACAGGGGTCAAAATCCTCAAAATAAAAATGACGTATTTTCTGGCCCTCCCCTTACTTATTATATATTACTAATATAGATGCGAAGCGCCTTACAGACAATCATTCCTTAATAATTTTTTTTTTTCATAATTATAATTATATGTTAAAAACACTAGGCCCGATATGGGCAAAAATACTTAATATTAATGATGCGAAATTGTAAACGGATATATATGCAGTAATTTGGCGCAGTAATCATGTGACATCGTGTCTTCACAGAATCACGTGATAGATAATTACACAGAGAAACGTTCTATAATTCTTTGAATCTAGGTACTAGATAGGCTTGAAATATGGATTCTTCATCAATTCTATTCAAAAAATGACTCTGTAAGATTATAGTCAATAGGATCGGTCATATTTTAATGTCTTTTGTAACAAACCTTTTTGGAAGTTTTAGATTAAGGCTGAGGTTATTTGGAAGATTAACGATTACTGTTCCTGGCATGTTAAAAGTTTCAAGCTCGGCCATGACCTTAATTTCATTGTAATCAACACGCTGGCTACTTTTAAAGCTGGTCTAAACCGCTGAATCACTAGCCATCGCGATAAGCTATACAAAGCGAGCACCACATGACTAACTCCCAATGCTATCATGATACGATGGAATTCAGGCCAACTACTGGAAAGAGGAGTCTTTAACAACCTAATTTGGAATAGCCGAATCGTAAGACCCTCCTTAGACTTTAGACCAGGGGTCTGAATAAATAAGTTCATTGTAGAATGTACAGAATGCACTAAACTAGCAACATGCATACACATGCCTCTCAACGTCATCACATATAGCAAAGGGGATTTCTTTTTTGTGTTCTTCAGTTCCAAGCTGTCCTTGAAAATATATTTCTTCGCGAGTTCTTCGTGATTTCGTTGTTCCTCAATTTCAAGGATTGTTGAAGGAGGGTCAATCCTAGGTTTTTTGTTTCCTGGCCGTCCTTCATTATATATTTTTGGTCTTTTTTCTTTACGGGCTTTCTCGAGTTCTTCTTCATGATTTCGTTGATTTCGTTGCTCCTCAGTTTCAAGGATTGTTGAAGGTGGTTCAATCCTAGGGTTGTTGTTTCCTGGTACCTAAAAATTGTAATGAAAAGGTGAAAAAAAAATATTGGAATCTGAGAAAGCATCCACTAAAAACCTACCTCCAAATAACAACCTTCCGATTTGTGTTGAAATAATTTGAGGCGCAAATCTGATCCCAATCTTCTGAGGTCCGTCCATAATGAGATCTTTGTAACGATGAAAGAATTTACTCGCGTCGGGGTGACAGCCGAAATGGATATGGCCGTATCTATAAAAAAAACGGTATCAGCAATAATCATATTTCAAAAGATATTTTATCTGTAAGCTTACGCTTTATGGCAGTGATGGGTTTTGGACATATTTTTAGATTTTAATAGTTTTGGACAAGGTTTTGGACATAAGAAAAACTTGTCCAAAACCTGTCCAAAATCGTCCAAAATTGTCCAATTGTCCAACACTGCTTTATGGGTTTTCTTGATGACGTGTACAAATGGAATGTTGGTCGCGCCTTCTAACCATATCTTAAGTTGTTTCTCGGTAAACCCTTGTATATCGCCACTACACATAACGGAGAATTCCGGCCTTCCACAACAATCACGATTACTATATGTTGGTGGTGAAACTAAAATGAGAACAGAAGTTATAGCACTTCCACAATTGGAAGGGTACAAGGATCCTCTCAGGAAGGCGAAAAGGGAGATTCACTCCAATACAAGGAGGGTATACAGCACTTCCCCAGTACGTAGAAAGGGCAGATGCAACCCGAAATGGGAGGTATGCGCATCCCGTGAATATGGTAATATAGTAACACTTCAAGCCTTCCTGCAAAGAAGAAGTGATAACATCGCACGAAGGGAAGGTAATATTGTCCTACGAAAAGAAATTACTAGATTCAAAAAAGTTTGAAAATACCCTGTAAGTCAGACATTTTGTCGTTTGGAGAAAAAAGTTTTAATTTTTTTTTTCGAAGATATCGATATATATGAGATCTCTGATATTTGAGACGCGACGTCTATCACATGATTACAAATAGTTTTGATCTTTTTTTGATTGGCCAAATTACATTGTTACACATAAATTACATAAATTCGTAATTTTTAGACCCCGTTCTATAGATTTAGGTTAGGGATGCCATAAAGATTTTGCAAAAGTTATCTCTTCAATCACTTTCCTTCCGAATTTGGAAGGTAAAATCAACAAAGTTCCAATTTATCAAAAAGTTAAATAAATTTATAATTTTTTTGTTTAAGTAGTTTATTTATATTTAATTCGTTATGAAATTATGAAATTAAAAAAAAATAATTTTATATGATTTAAATAAATATTATTAGATGAAATAAGGCTATTAAAAACATCTATCTTACGGAAATAAATTCTTTCAACGAATGAGCAAGTCGGAAATTACTGGACGATGATCACTAATGTACATTTCATCGTAAAGATTCGACACCACTCCATGACTAATTACTTCGACAGCTCGTGTTGAAATGCTAATGTTATCAACTAAAATGAAATCAATTCTTTCCTGTTTCGTACCTTCTGAGAATCCCGTAAAAGTATTGGAAAAGCCAAATGATCCTCCTTTAAGACCATTAATCTCATAACGAGTATCAGCGAAAATCATAGTGGTAATAGATTTTTGATCATTTGATTTAATAATATCTTGATGATTTACTCCTGTAAGTAATTTATAAGCCTCACTACTTTCTTCGCAATTAAAATCGCCCGATAAAAACACTTTTACTGTTGGTGAACTTGATGAAGCTAATTTACGAGCATGGTTTAATAACAATTTAGAACTTTCTAATCGAGCCTTTATTCCCAAGTGATCAAAATGAGTATTGATCCAAACGAATGAAGAATTTGTCAATAAATCTTGGAATCTGTAAAAGGATAAAACAAGTCGATTAAAGAAATAGAAAAAAAATAAATAAGGAAGATTGATAGTATTAAAAAAAAAAGACCTTGCTTGAGTAACAACACCTACATAACATATAAAATAAACATAATTTTTTAATATCATTGCGTTATATTCAGAATTTTTTTTTTTGTAGCAAAACTACTTACGCGTAAGTGCGGCGTCCCAGCCTATGCTACCAGGAATATCTGGGTTCTGTAATCATTAAAATATGATTGTTCGTTAAGGTTAAAATACAACCATATAAATAGAAATAAATTAACCTCAGAGAGCCAAAAGTGTTTAGAATCCAATAATTTCAATCGATTTCTATTGTTCATAAATATTAGCCATTTATAACAAAAAAAAAAAAAGATTAGTTAAACATAAATAATTACTTGTTATAAAAAATTGGCACAAACTCTCCTGATTTCTTCCCATCATTTCTTCCAACTCCAACCCAGCCCCAATTAGAACCAAGCAAAAGCTCCAAATCTTTGATTTGGTTATACAAAGCTTCCTAATTTAATAAACAAAGTTTCATTACACACACACAAGAATTGTTTCGGAAATAAGGTTTCTTTACCTGTATACCAACGAGGTCAATTCTGTGAAAAAGTATTGTGTCGGCAACTTTAACACGTCTAACCTGCCACGGGGTTTCACCAGTTACATTTGATGAAACCTTATTTACAGAAGTGGCAGGAACTTCATTATTATCAAAGCGTATGTTAAAAGTTGCGACACGAAATATTTTTGGTTCGTTCATATTAAAAATAAAATTCAAACGCCCAAAACTGATAAAGTTTTTACAATGGTAATTTATAGTTTGTATAGTTGGTATTAAAAAAAAAAAACCGGTTTTTTCTACAGGTTAATAAAGAAAAAGAAAATACATAAACAACAAACAAATGCATGGTATTGTGCAATCCCAATTAAATATTAAATGATAAAACAAAAACGTGATCCGAATTAGCCGCTGAGCACGCGGAAATGCATTCAAATTCTGCATACAATTCCCGTATAAGGTCAATCAAATTGTTCTCAAACCTCCTTTACCTTATCGACCACTCCCATTATTTTATATATAATATAAAAAAGTACACTCTTTCTCTTTTTTTTTTTTTTTATTTTATTTTTATTTTTACACACATATATATATATATAAAATTATCCTCAAAACATGTTGGATGGAACCTCTTCTCAAAGTGATTATTCAGACAACGAGGATATGTATGTACATAATATGACCTTGAAGCAGGCAAAACAATTATTGAATAGTCCTCGTTCTCGACAAATTATTACACTTGCAAGTTGTGGTAAAAAGGTTGGTGTGGTCGAATGTGGCGATCCCAATGGGTACCCTGTTCTTTGGTTCACAGGTTAGTATTCAAAATTTTTTTGATAATAAACCTATATGCTTTCAATAATAATAATATTCATTTTTTATTTTTTTCCTCTATTAAAGGTAATATGGGACCCGCTCTTTCAATCCTCTTATATCATAATATCGCCAAACGACATCGCATTCGTTTTGTATGCGTTGACCGTCCTGGATATAATGCTAGTGATGACATATATTCTGAACCTGGAGTTCCAGACCTTTTCGAATTTGCTGATATGATTAATGAGTTAACTTTAATATTAAGAATGTGGCAATTTGGTTTGGCAACTTTTTCGTTGGGCGCAGTTTATGGATTAGCATATTCTTTAAATTTTCCAGAGAGATTAAAAGGACCAATATTTATGATTTCCCCTTGGCTTTCAGTCAAAACACCAGGAACTTCAACCATGTATAAAGGAATTGCTAGATACGCACCAAATTTTTTAATACGTACGACTTTGAGTACTCTTCCGCACATGAACAATTTTATTAATATGTGGAGTACATTAGGTTCCTCCCCTGTCAAATCACCAAAGCGTGTATCAACCTCAACCTCCACTTCTACAACGTCGGATTCTGACGATGGAATTGAAGACGCGGACATAGCATTTGCAATCTCACCCGGAAGGAGTTACATTCATCAACAAATATATGCAAATGGGTTATGGAATCTTCAAAATAGGACGGGCGCACATATTGATGCGATGGTAGCATTAGAAAAAGTGAGTTGGGGTTATTCATATGAGGAAACAAATTATCCAATTGAAGCGTTTGTCGGTGACATTGATGAAAATGTTCCGATACAAGCTTGGATGTACATGAATAATAGAATGAATAATATTGAACTTAATGTGATTGAAGGTGGTGGACATTATATATTATATAGAATGGACTTTATGGAAGATTTATTTACACAAATTGAACGTTCAATGTATTCGTAGAAAATATCTCATATCATTCATTTATTAGCATCATTTGTATTCATTAACGACATGTAATTATTTATTTTGGTTTTTTTTTTCATATTAGATTCATATTAGTAATTTTATATAATTAAGGTAGAAGGATTTAAAGATACAATTATTATTGGCAATTATAATTCTCAATTGTAAAACATTTTATTATTATAAAGGAAAGGACGTGAATAAATGAATTTATGATTGAAACTCTTGCTATAATAATGATTTTTTTTTTTAAAAAAAAATGACAAATGTTACCCTTGTTATGTTGAGACTACCAAGACTGCTGATGGAACGAGACCTATAAATAAAATCGAGTGTTAAAAGGATTTATTAAACATGAATGAAATAGGATGAGTGAGAAAAATTGCAAAAACAAAAAAAAAAAAAAATTTTTTTTAGGTAATAATCAAAGTTTGCACGTGGAAAAAATTGGAAAAAATTGTCCCTTTTTGCCAGAGCTCACCCCATATATCATACTTACTCAATTCCTTTAAAGTTTTACTCCGTTCAGCACCATCAAGAATTTTTCTACAAGGAAACAAAAACCATAAATGTTAGAGTTAAGGACAAAATAATTTACTCGCATTTCGTTGATTCTATAATAACCTTGGAAAAGTTGTCATCAATTTAAATGATCCGGGAACTTTCTGCCCAACAAATTCATATACAACTTCCAAAGTATCTGTGGCTTGAAAAGTGTGAGTAATAGGAGCACCTGAAGGTTGTCGAATCTGCATTGAGAAATTCAAATATCATGTATAAATTATGAAGCAAATGGTTGACTTATATGAATTACATGAATGAATAATATTAAACCTGTAATCGTGTTTCGGTATATTCTTTTGGGGCGACAGAGGATGCAGCAGTTTCTTTTTGTTGTTCCTCGAGGGCCGCCTGTTTAGCAGCTTCACGCTATATACAAATATAATCATCGGAATAAATTTCAAAAGTAATCATGTAATCATTAAGAAATAAGAAAAATTACATCATACTTTTTTCGCACGTTCCTTTTTATCGGCTTCAATCTGTGCTTTTATTTTAGCCTTTGCAAGCCTTTCTTCCTCCTTCTCCTTCTTTTTAGCCAACAATATCTTTTGCATTTCTTTTTCTTCCAATTTTTCTTTTGCTTCGGTTAATTCTTTACCTGTCTTTCTTCGGACCTTTTCCCGAAGCTTCTCTTCCTCCTTTTCTTGAAGAAGTCGCGATTCCTTTTTTTCGGCCAAAATTCTTTTCAGCTCTTCTCGTTTAGCCACCTTCTCTTCCTCTGTAAGTGGCTTGATAGGGGTGGTTGATTCGGAAAAATTTACGTGTCCTACGTAAAATTTCATATTCATTTAAGTTATCTTGAATTTTGAATAAATTGTGATTGTGGTTAAATTTTACCTGATCTGGATGCGTGACGTTCCGCAGCAGCTCCTATTATGTTTGAAGAGATTCAGTTATAGAAGGACAAGAGAAATTATCTAAAAAAAGGAAAAAAAAAAAGATTTAATAAACTTTACCATCGCGAAACATTTTTTGACAATCATTACATATTAATGATTGTGCTGTTTGTTCTCCATCTTGAATTTCCCCGTCTAAATTCGGATCTCTATTTCCGGAAGACGAAGCTGTCGCTTCACTTCCTGATGCTTCTCCGCTAGGTTGTCCACCTAAAGATTGTCCACCTGCCGGTTCGTCAAGGTCTCCAGGGTGAGAAAGTATCCTTAATAAAACCAATGGGACAACATATGATAAATAATCTTATGAATTATATATATAAGGTACGAAAAAAGATTTAACAATTTTGAAAGTAAATTTTGCTTACCAATCCATTGCAGGTTGCAGACCTGCTCCCTTGGTTGCCTGAAAGGCTCGTGCCCTACGTTATATTCATAATGGGAATTTCAGTAATTCACAAAATCACCCTCTTGTCTCTTTTAAAATGTTTACTTACACTTTATCAGGTGGAAAGCCCATTTCAATTAAAGTATCTTTATCTGACTTCGTGCTCATTTTACTCGTTTAAAATATTAAATGCAATTAAATTATATTAAGGAAATTCGAAACAAGATGATAAATCGATCCCCAGTTTGAAACTGATCATCATTCTTCACTATGATCTTTTGTAGTGTCACACGCCCAAAAATGTAAATTCCAACACACTATAAAAGTAATTATGAATAACCTATTTTTGTTTCAAAATAAAACATGTCTGCATTATTTACAAAACGACTTTCCAAAGAATTAGTTGATCTTAAAATTAACCCACCTTCAGGAATTGAAGTAACGGAAGCAGACACATTCAAAAGCTGGAAGTTAACCCTTGACGGTGTGGATGGAACGTTATACGCTGGTGAACGTTTCACTTTGGAATTTCGGTTTAGTCCAAACTATCCCATGGAGTCTCCTGAAGTCGTTTTCATAGGTGATATACCAATACACCCACACATTTACAGCAATGGTCATATATGCTTAAACGTCTTATATAATCAATGGAGCCCAGTTTTGAGCGTTCGCTCTGTTTGTCTTTCGATACAATCAATGTTATCGAGTTGTACGTGTAAAGAACCTCCTCCGGATAACAGTCATTATGTGAAGACCGCCAAAGCGTCTCCTAAACAAACTCAATGGGCTTTCCATGACGATTCTGTTTAAGTGACAACTATTGATCGGTAATAGGATCAATCTTTGTTTAATAATGAATTTATTTTTTCATTGATTATTAACAAATTTATAAATTTCAAGATTGATCAAAATCTGGAAAACATTCATATCGAAACACCGCATTGCTGCTAAATCTTTGTAAAACGCATGTGTGATAATTATGATAACAACTTTTAATCAACGGTCTTTACATCTCTAAAAAAAAATATTCATTGAATTTATCACAATTTTGGCAAGCAAAGGAAGCTTTATTTTTTTTTTTTTTTTTTTTTTTTTAATTACCATTTGTCAAAAAAAAAAAAAATCTTTTTTTTTTTAAAAGTATCTTGATTTTTTGATTTTTTCTATTCTTTTACTTATGATTTTTAATAATAAACACTTTAAACGATCAATATTCTTCAATTTATTTACGTGATCTATATGGTTATTATTCAATACATTCCTTATCTAGGATATGCTAACTTCTTCTCCCGCGATAAAACATTTTACAAGGTTGAGATCATCGTCCAAGAAAATTATATCAGCATCTGCTCCTACATCAAGAGTTCCTTTAACATTTTGAACGTTTAAAAGTTCGGCCGGATGCAAAGTGGCCGCTTCAATTGCTTCAATTACATTACACCCAGTAAATTTTTTAAAATTTTTGACACACTCATCGATAGTAATCACAGATCCTGCTAATTTACCATTATCTATCACTTCAACCTTTTCATTGCCACTTTTACGAACCGGAATCCCACCTAAAGAGTATTCTCCTTTTTAAAGGAATAAGGAACAAGATTAATACTAAACTTATAATATGCTAGGTACCGAGAATTTTTCAACTAAAACTTAAGATCTTATTCGCATTTTAATCTCACCTCAAAAACCAAAAAAAAAATCTCGGCTTGTTGAAAAATTCACGGAACCTGATTTTCCTAGAAATCAATATATAAAGTGGTGATACTTACCGGGAGGGAGACCCATCGCTGCCATCGCATCGGTGACAAGAATAGCACCCCTCGGATGTGAGTCATAGGCAATTTTTATCGAATTCGGGTGAACATGAGTGCCATCACAAATAATGCCATAAAATGGTCTCGCTAATCGCGTGGTTCCTAACAGACCAACTATACCAGGATCGCGATGATGAAACTATGCGAAGCAAGAGTACATAGGAGGGAATATGACGTAATGTGTAAATACGAGAGTCGTTCAAAGAAAGGAAGGAAGGAAGCCGAATTTACCTGTTGCATAGCATTGAATAAATGCGTGATACACTTTGCCTTGTAAAATTCAAAAGTATGAAAATAAATATAAATAAATAAGATAAAAAACTTATTAATCAATTCATAAAAGAAAAATTACCCCCTTTTCAACCGCTAATTCTGCTTGAGCCACGGTTGCTGAGGAATGTCCTGAAAAAGAAATATTTTTTGAAGTTATTCTTCAATCACAAATTACTATAAACTTTTAACGATACATAAAAGAAAGAATACCTATGCTAACGGTTATACCAAAATTTATCAAACCTTCCAAACTGTCTAAAGCTCCCTCAACGTCGGGAGCTACGGTTATGAGTTTTACCGCATGATCATACAATCCATAAATATCAATAAAATCTTTAAAGCCATTTGGTGCTGTTCGAAGATAAGACTCTTTGTGAGCTCCTTGTTTACTCTGTGTAATAAAAGGTCCTTCAACATGTGCACCCAATACTTCTGCGCCATTTTCTTTATTGCCTTTACGCGGTTTGAGCAATGGTAATACCTTATTATTAGAATAATAAGTCAGTTCGGTAATATAATAAAGAGATTATAATTAGTCATTCACCTTGTGATAAATTTCTTTTGGAGAGCTAACAATTGTAGGAACGAAACTGGTGCAACCATTTTTTAGTAAACCTTTCGCGACTTTATCCAATCCTTCTTTCATTTGTTTATCGTCTTTCCAAACAGAAAAATCTACCCCAAAAGCTCCATTAATTTGTATATCGATATATCCTGGAGCGATCAATAATCCTTTGGCGTTTATGACGGTATCGGGTGAATTACCGTATGTAAAAAAATGATTTTGTGGATCAATGATCTTTCCTTCGTATATATAGAGTACATCATCATTGATAATTTTATGATCGCGAACTATACGTCCATTGATGATTTTTACAAGACGCGAAGTTCTACTTTGGAGTGTTTTTTCCGAATATTGAGACGGCATATGAAGTTTCTTTTTAGTTTATTTAATGATAAAAGAGAAAGAAGTAAATTTATGATATTTATGATAAAAAGGTTTGCCCATTTTTTTATTCAACGTGGAAAAACACGAGACAGAAACGGTTCAGACCGCAGCTGATCATGAATGATTTCGACAATTTTCGTACTACAAATCTACTTGATGATTAATTAATACGATCTTCGCATTATAAGGAAAAATAATTTTAATACAGTTTCTGTCAATAACTCATATTCCTAAAACAAATCACATTTTTTTACAACCGGATCAGAATAAGATTATCTACCAAAGTGCAAGTAAATCCAAGAGACATATGATGTCTCAGTTGAAACATTATGATGTTGGATTACTTCTAAAAAGGTTATTATTATCAAAACATTTGAAGGAAAAAGACTCAGATATACACAAAGTTTTTGAAAATGATGGCAACCTATACAAAAGGCCAAGATTTGTTCTGATTTAGAGTTCAATTGAAAGGGCAGGGTTTTGTTACCTTTTAGGATAAATATACTCTAAAGAAATCAAAAAAAAATAATAGTTATTTAAAAAAATTACTTATATTGTTTTGGATCTGAACTTATAAAGTGGATCTTTAAAAAAATAGGACATAGCTTGTGATACTTGGTTTAGATGTTTATACCAAAGATATCAAAACTAAAAAACTTTAGAAAATTTGCTTGCAATTATTATAGTATTTGTAACATGATATAATAAATTACATTTAGACATAAATTATAAAAGAAGAGAAACTGCTCAAAAGATTCAAAAGTTTTAAGAAGATAATGAAAAAACTTCTAGCATGTAAGATACAATGTATTCATATTATTTTAACCAAGAGAAGCAGTTAAAACTTAATAAATAAATAGGAATAGCATGATGAATATATAATCAGTATCTTATTATAATTAAAAAAGAAGGTATTAAATAAGAAAAGAAGAATCTACACATATAATATCTTAATAATAAAATTTTCAATAATATCAAATTCAAATGGATTCTTGAAATTCCTTATGATATTTATAATGAAGTAATAAATGATTTGCTTAAAGAATATTTTTCTAACTTTACTATAAATTATAAAAAATTCAAGATATAACTTTATTTTAAAAAAGGATTTTCAATAATCAATTACAATATTTCTAAATACTAGAAAAAGTCTTATGATAAATATATATTTCTTTTAAAAATTAAATCATCAAATCTTTTTAAATATGATAGTTACCTTATAACAAATCTTCTGAATAAATATTATCTTTGTATATCTATATTACTTGAAATATAGTTTAAAAATTAAGATTCTTTATTTACTTATTTTATATTAATAATTATAAAAATCTAAGTTATGTATAGTTTAAATTAAAATTTTAA